CAATACAAAGCCTTTTATAAACATTAAACTACAGTTATCTTTCTTGGCCTGGGGTAGGAGAAGAATGTTATCTTATGGTGCTTTTTTGGGGCTAGAACACATGCAATGGTAACTACAGTAGCATGCAGGAACTGTGAAAAATGCTTCAGTTAGAGGCTTCAGACTTGGAAGAAGAGTAGTGTAAGTTCGATGCAGCTGTTAAACTGAAGAAAGCACTGTGTAGCTCAGATGGGATGCCACCTGTCTTCTCCACTTTAAATAAAACTGGGGTCTGCAGGAAAGCCCCTCTCAGTTCATCACAGCTAACAGGGAGCTGCAGTTCTGTTGAATATAAGAGTGGCAGAACCTGATCCCTGAATCTAGGAAATGGGACCAATGGATAAAATCCAAACAGCATTCAGAGAAGGACTTAAATGCTCCCTAGGAAGGACATTACAGATGCTCTGGATTCAAAAGCTAATCCTGGCTTGTTCGGGTGAGCTGAGTGCAGGATTGCCTGTGAAAGGAAAGGGCACAGCTTAGCCCTGACATTACTTTATCAGCGGAGGTCAGTGTGACGGAGTTGAGCAGCAGTGATTGTTTCAGCTCAGTGTTGAGTTGGGAGGAATCCAGATAGCTGGGGGGGAACTGCAGGCCCCCTGCTTTTGTAGGCTGTAGTGAACTTGGTGTCTGCTGCTTTCAGGCACTCCTGTACACTTCATGAAAGAGAAGGGCATTTTCAAGATCCCTGTCACTATCACAATAGCCTGCAGGTTCTGTGGGAGCAGCCTTTTGGGCAAACAGTCATGCTATGATCTGTAATGACCTCGAGTACTGTGTGCAGTTTTGGGTGCCATAATATAAAAAAGACATTAAACTATTGGAGAGCATCCAAAGCAGGGCCACAAGGATGGGGAAGGGTCTGGAGGGGAAGCTGTAGGAACAGCTGAGGTCACTTGGTCTGTTCAGCCTGGAGGAGACGGAGGGGAGACCTCATTGTGGTCTTCAGCATCCTCCCGAGGGGCAGGTACCAGTCTCCTCACTCATGAGTAGTGACAGGACCCAAGGAAATGGCATGAAGTTGAGTTAGAGGAGGTTTAGGTTGAGTATCAGGAAAAGATTCTTCACCCAGAGGGTGGTTGGGTACCAGAACAGGCTCCCCAGGGCAGTGGGCAGAGCACCAAACCTGTCTGAGTTCAAGATGCGTTTGGACAGTGACCTGTACAGGGCCAGGAGTTGGACTCAGTGATCCCTGTGGGTCCCTTCCAACTCAGCGTGTTCTGTGATTCTGTACACATGCATTTCCAGCCCCTGTCTCCTGCAGACTTTGTTTCTGGGACTCTGGTACCACCCAGAGCAGCTTTTGAGGATGCAGGAGCTCATTTTTGGGCATCTGTTTGCAAATTGTGGCTTCTTTGCCTGTGTCCTGCTTTTCTGTAAGGAATGCAGTTTAAGAAAATGTCTTGAACCTGGCCCTCAAGAAGGCAGGTACATACCCCTCTTAATGGGGAACTTGTAGTGGAGATCTATTGCTACGTTTCTGAGCAACCACAGGTTATTCTCCTAGGAGATGCTATATTATTAGTATATAAAGTTTGCTGAAGAAAAATAAACTGTTAAAAGCAGATAGAAAATGACACATTTGTTTAGTTCTTCAGATGTAGGAAACGTTTGCAACAAGTTCTTTGCATATTGAATAGTGGTGGGAGAAAAATTTGTTGATGAGAAGTTCCTGTGGGAATTGCTTGGAGATAAGGTAGAGGTTGTGGAATTTCACACATCCCTTCAGGTGTTTGTGGAATGCTACAGGTGCGGTGTGCTGAAACATTATGGTGTATTTCTCTGACTTTCTGAAGAGTTAAAGATCTCTTTACGAATATTGCCCCTATTTGTAATGCTGAGTGTTTAATTCCTTCATGTTATCTGTATTATACTGTATAATTGTGTAATATACGTATGTTTACAATAAAATCTTTTATTAGCTGTGGTAGGATTGTCTTGACTGTCACCTGTCACTCAAAGTTTCTCCAGATCCACAGATATTTTTGTGCTCTGTGTATTCAGAATGTTGCAGTTAGTTCTGGATAAGAATTGGTAATTGAGGAATTTATCTGAAGGAAAAGGTAATTTTCCCCTTTTCAAGGGGAAACTTATTTTAAAAAGCTCCTGGTTTTAGAAGCTGGGGGCAGGGAAGCCATGAGCTGAGCTCCTCCAACCTTTTGCTTCCAGAGCAGCCTGCTTAAATAGCAAGTAATTGGTTTGTGTGGAAGACTTTTGAGAAGTACGGTGGGTTGAGGTTGGCCAGCTGCCAGACACCCACCCAGCCGCTCTCATTCCCTTTCAGAATTCAAGAGAAAGTAACATGTCTCATGTGAGTCAGGATAATGTACCACAGAATCACTAAGTTTGGAAAACACCTCTAAGGTCACCAGGTCCAGTTGTCATCGCCAAGCCCACCATTAACCATGTCCACAAGTCCCACATCTACATGTCTTTTAAATGCCACCACAGATGGGGATGGACCAATGCCCTGAGCAGATCAACGAAATCAGTAGATAAAACCAGGGACAGCGTGACTGGTTACTGCCTTAGGCAAAACTGGCTCAACTTGGTGAAAATTAGTTGAACTTACTGCCAAATCGAAGCTGAGTGATGAGAGGCAAAGGCCAAAAAAACCGTCAAGACAGCCTCCCCACCCCTCCCCCGCAAAAAAAACCCCACAAAAACAAACGGGGAAAAAGCCCCAAAATACCTCAAACTGCTTTCCCCTCGACTTCTTTCTCAGACGAATGTCTTCAGTCCTTCACCGCTAACTGCTGCCTCTGCCCTCTCTAAGCCCCGGCTCCTCCGACGGCTTCAGCACCCCGAGGGCGGGGACCGGCGGTGTCCGGAACGGGGCAGCCCCTCCCCTCACATAGACCTCTCCTTAGAGACCTCCCCACAGCTCACTCCCCTCAGAGATTCCCCTCAGAGACCCCCTCACACAGACCTTTCCTTAGAGATTCCCCTCAGAGACCCCCTCACAGCTCCCTCCTCTTCAGACTCCCTCACACAGACCTGCCCTCAGAGATTCCCCTCAGAGACTCCCTCACACAGACCTGCCCTCAGAGATTGCCCTCAGAGACCCCCTCACAGAGACCCCCTCACAGAGACTTTTCCTCAGAGCTTCCCCTCAGAGATCCCCTCACAGCTCTCTCCCCCGAGATTCCTTTCAGAGACACTCACACAGACCGTCTCTTAGAGATTCCCTTCAGAGATCCCCTCACAGCTGCCTCCCCTGAGATTCACCTCAGAGACTCCCTCACAGCTCCCTCCTCACAGAGACCCCCTCACAGCGACTTTCCCTCAGAGATTCCCCTCAAAGATCCCCTCACAGCTCCCTCCCCTCACAGCTTCATCCCCTGAGATTGCCCTCAGAGACCCCCTCACAGAGACCCCCTCACAGCTCTCTCCCATCAGAGATTCCCCTCAAAGACCCCCACCACTCCTTGCCAGCGCTGGGCACCGGCACTTGACGCGGATAAGTTTTTGAACCGAAAGAGTAAAAGAAGTTACCAAACAGGTGTTCTCTCCGCCCTGCGGGGAGGAGCCGTGGGTCTCTGAACAGACTAACGCTCCGCTCCGTTGTTTTTGGAAGTGCTGTGTTAGTGCTAAATGCCACAGAAGTGCCTCCTGCCCTGGAAGTAAACACAGCCTTTTTGGGCTGCGTGGCACCACCAATACATTTGTGGCAACTCAGGTTGGTCCTTTACCACAGTGGCCAAGGTAGAGGAAATGGGTATGAGTAAGGTAGAGGTGATAGGTTTGCATCGGATTCTTCGCTCTCAAAGAAATTATGAGATGCAGAGAGAAACGTGCAGTTTATGAGAGCAAGCAAATCCGTTATGTGCTGCTTGTGAATTTTGCAAGTTCACAATAAGAACTCCCCTGAGTAATGGTGTACTTCCCACACCAAAGTTTACATTGAGCATGTGGCAGTGCAGGTATTCACTGCTCTCTGACACAAAACTCACCTTCAGCATCACAACAGGCCAGGTGTCAGCAGGATTAAACAAAACAAGCAGGTTCAGTGTCACCCTAGAGGTAGTAAATTCTAAAGTTACACTTATAAACCCTTCCTTTTTAAAGGACATTTCTTTATGTATCAAATAACCCTTACTTGCAGTGTGTTTCACAGTCGAAAATCCTTGAGGGACTTGGACATGGGCCCAGAGCAATTGGGAAGACAAATACTAGTGTGAGAGCAGTGTTGGAAGCAATCCTGGCATCACAACTCCCTGGAGCTTGCAAAACTCACATAGATTTGACTTCTTCAGAGGAACTTGCTGTGATACCTTTCAATTTGTCTGAGGCAGGCGTTTTTCATACAAAATCAGGTAAGTTGCAGACATTGACAGCCAGTGGCACCATCCTGGACCTTACAGAGGTAAGTACCTTCTCACTTTTCCATCTGTTCATTGCTCATGTACACTGAGAAGAACCTTGTGAGCCTTTGGCTTTCTACTGGAAGTCTTTTGAGGCGTAGCTAGAAGAGCTATTGCACTGTCTAGGGAAGCTGGTTGTATCTTCAGCGCTTTTACTGACTGAAATGTACATGGGAATAACTGTAAAGCAATGCTCTCTTAACATTCAACACTATCACCCTTTCCTCTGATTTATGTGAGATGGCAGAGTGAAACTAGGGTGAAACTTAACAGGGCACCATGTGGATAATGCAGAAAGGGTTCTTCAAAGCATGGCATCTACATCAAAGTGGATCAAACCTCTGTGCGTTTCATAGGGAATGCAGCTGGGCCACAGCTCTGAGTGTGCCTTCAAGCTGCCCTTGCTGGGGGCTGTGCCTGGGGAAAAGCTCCAGGAGTAAGGAATTGACTGCTGCTGGCACTGAATGCATCCCCAATGCCTTGCTTCATGTTCAGTGTGCCCTGCTGTCATGCAGTGACAAATTGTACTATAAGGTTGACAACATAAGGGTTGTATTTTACAACAACAACAACAAAAAATATGGGAGAGAACCAATAGCCAAAATACATTTTAATTTATTAAATTAAATCCAGTCCATTTGATAAAATACAAGCTTATTATATTACCAATTTGTTTAAACCTGGGTCATATTTTTAAGAAATACAGTCAATTAAGAAGAGATAATAGACAATTTCCTTTTTACTTTTTTTCCCCTTGCTGTTAATAAAGTCCAGGATTGAAATGAACTTAAATTGTTTGAACAAAACTGCTAAAAACATTATAAAGAGATTAAACAAGCAGATTGAATTCTTAGAAACATCTAACATGCAAAACTTTTAGCACAGTTTGAATGCTTCAATGAATTTCTTGAAAAATGAATTTCCTGAAAAATTATTTTGGCAAGCACTGGGATTACTGCAGGTTTCTCCAAGGATGAGTGTGGGAAGAGCCATCCCTTGTCCCAGCCAAATGCAGGTTACTGAAGGTGTTCCCTGTTCTGGTGGTTGTGCTCAGTCCCACTACAGTGAACACCATTAAATTCTCACATAATGCAGTGAGAAGATGCTGTCTGCATGTATTGCAAGTACAATTCACATGCCAACAGCTCAAAAATTGTTCTTATGGGAATTATCAGCAATGCATTTGTTTTCTGCAGAATCCCTGAAGTTCATTAAATTTGTTTTAGACTTCAGCTAGTAAGAAGTTCAAGAAAAAGTCCTCCTGTGTTGAAAGTCTGTTTCATTACAGATGAATGAATATTTGATCACTGTTAAAGTCTGAGGATAGTTTCCCTTTGTTCTGGACAACACACATGTGTTGCAAACACAAAGTAATAGTTTTTCAATTTTTTTTTTCCCAAAATAATTAGTAAATCCATTAAATAAGCAGTAGACTAATTATATTGCATAAGTTATCGAAATAGAAATTGTAAAGTCTCAATGAACAAAGGCTAAAAAAATGGTTTCTTAAAACACATGTACCTCAGCAAAAGTTAAATATGCAGCAGTCTAAAAAATCAGCTTCAGAACAATGACATTTGAAACGGCCTATCTTAAAAAATGACAGATGGCTTACATTCTACATTACATTTTTCTTTAAGAAGAATTTCTAAGTAACATTCGCTTGTGGTTGTTCCTAGCATTAGCATTACCAATATACAGGCGATAATTTAGGAATTTCAAGGCAATATTTTCCACCTTGCATATGCAAAGAGTTAACATTTATTAAAAGTATAAGCATATCCTTTTCATTAAAGGATCACAAATTGCTTTAGGTAAAATCCATGTACAATATTTACAGTCACCCTAACAGCTGTACAAATTATGTAAGTATCCTAGATCCTCTGGAGGAGTCTGGTGGGTGCCTGGCTGTATCCATGCACTCTTCTCCAAACCAGTTTGGTGCACTGCTGATGTCAAGGCTGTCTCCTGGAGTGGTCCTCTCTTGCTCCTGCATCAGCTCTCCAATTTTGGTAATATCCAGCTTCCCAGCCTTAAAGGCCCAAGACACTGCATGTGCCAGATTTATTTTAGAGTTCAATGACATTGGCTTCCTCCAGCTTCTAAGACAACTCTGGAAGTTCAAACAGCCCCTTCAAAGCTCTACTTTCTGGTGATGCCATTTGAGGTCCTACTCCCAAAACCCCTCAAGAATGTCAGAAGTCAGCCAAATTACTCCCTGTCTTTCAGCAGCCTACTTAGAGGGTGTTGCTAAATAAAACTGGTTTGGGTTTTAATTATCCATCCCGCTTGCAATTGTTTTCCCTCCTACCCTGTGTATTTCTGAGTAGGGATGTTGCCTGCAATCCTGCCTTTGCTGCCCAAAGTCAATCTCCTAATGTGACGCCAGCTGGCATAGTAATGAACCTGCTCCTGTGAAAAACTAGGTCACTCCTCGCAGCGTGTTTGCCAGTTCTGAACCAAGCGCTTTGCGGTTTGTTGTGTTAACAGAAAGTGTGTGTGCATATCATTAATCACTGGAGCTGCTTTTGATAACACCGGTTCTTTGATCTTAACACTCCTCATGAAAGTTGCATAGTGATACATCTTAACAGAAACTCTGCATTTAAGCTGTCTGGGTGTGAGGAGGGTCCAGGTTCACACGTTGAGGATCCGTGATGGCGCCTGGAAAACAGCAGAAGGGTTGGGGGAGAATCTGGTCTTCACTTCTGGGATCTAGTGGGGTGAGGAAGGGAGAAAAGCGTTAGTGTTACACAGGATACAACTGTCTAGAGAGTTTGAGGGTCCTGGGGTATTGTGAGGATCTACGTGCTCTCCTTGTAACCACTACCCAGGTGTTAGCCCCTGGCTGGGCATCAGTGAGACTGGCCTTGCTGTACAGGGGGATTCAAGGGCAGGTGTGATGCTGGGCCAGTGAGGAGGGGTGTGGTTGTTCCCCAGCCCTTGGACGTGAGGTGTGTGGTGTGATGGGGATAACCATTCCTGGGCAGGCCTTGGCTGGACCCAGCCCCTGCAAGATGAAGAGCTGTCTCTTCACAAAGCCCTGCTGGCAAACACTCTGTGAGCATCACAACAAATTCACTGCTGGATGGGTGCTGGATTTAAGTGAGAGGAATTACAGTGGTATGCATCTTGTCCTTAAGCTTTTGGAGAATGCCATCCAGACTCCACTAAAATGTTCCATTAGGGGTCACAGTCTGTGTCTGCTGTGAATAGAGGTGCAGACCTGGAGGACCCAAAGGAGAAAAATTGGTTACTGGACCTTCCAGGCTGGTTAAACTGCAAGGACTTGGATAAGGATGTAAACTTCTTACACCTGGAGGAAAGGCAGAGATAGCAATGGTTGCTTTCTCTGATGTCTGTGGAATCAGAATTTCATGCAATATGTAGGTCCTGTAGTTGTACTGAAGCATGAAGGACACCTGGATGCTTCTGTCATCCCTAATGCTGAAAACTCAAATGATTTTATATAGGACTGGCCATAGATGTGCATCCAGCCCAGGAGTCAGGGTGAGTCTGGCTATAAAACATGAAAGGGTCAAAAGCTTTGCTGGGTATGCTGCTGGCACCATCCAAGCAGAGAAAAGAGCACAAAACTGCAGGCAAAGAGAGTACAGGGAAACAGGGAAAGCTATTGATCTCTGGTTGATGTTTCATTGTCCTGATTTTTCCATTCCTCTGGGGATGCATCTGACACACTAAGGAACAAGTGAGATGTCACAAAGAGCACATACACAGCTCAGTGGCTGGGGAGAAGCAGCAGCCTGAGTCCTACCTGTAGCTGTCAGGACATACCATAAACCAAATTTCCACATGTCTGGCAAAGTCAGGGGCTTCAGGTAAGAGTGAAAGTCCTATTGGCCAGGTGTGAACCAGGGAGTCTGACTTCTCTTTGGGCTGGTGGCTTTTTGGTACTGTCTTCATTCCTGACTACACCTTTGCCAAGCTGTCTGTTAGAGAGACTGTGATGGTGCCCTGGGGCCCCAGGACACAGGACCTATGCTTGCATGGTTCAGAGTGCAGTGTTCTTGGTAGCGTGTGTTTGTGTCTAGGATTCTAGTCTTCTCTTTCCCTTCCTCAACAAATGAGATAGGGACCTTCAGGGGTTTATCAAGGACCCCCTTTGCATCCAATCTGGCAAACTGGAAAACACTGTATTTTGAATCCCTAGGGTCAAAATGCAAAATTAAATCAACAAGGGTCAAATACAAGGTTTAAGGGTTAAATGCAAGGTCTATCCTCATTGCTGCACCTCAATAAATAGCCCAGACTATTGAGAGCAAGGAAGAAGTTTTGGTGAGGTTTGCAAATTCTGTTTTGCCTGAGGTCACTGTCCCACTTTCAGCAGAACTGGCTATACCCATCGTGAGCCTTGTTGCAGCAGCGTGCCAGCAGTCCTCTGCGGAGGAGGCACTTGACTGTCTGCTGATTAAACACTTCTTCCTTGTCTCCTCCAAGGCAAAGATTTACTTTTCACACGTGGCCCTGGAGTAGCTGCTTTTACCTCTACTGGCACAGCACACTGCGGCTGGGGAGTTCAGCCCCAGCCCTGGCTCTGCGTTCTGAGTCATTCAGTGCAGCCTGTGAACAATTCCTGTGGTTGGCTGGGAGATGCTGTTCTCTTTGGTGGTCTAATGTAAAAAGCAGCTAAAACACAGCCTTGTCAGTGTGCACTTTCCTTTATTCTGGGGATGGGAAGTAGGGGGGGCCCTGTCAGGGAAAATGCTGAGCACAGAGTGTTTCCTCATGGGATTTTCAGTAGCACATGCATTTCACAACAAGAAAATTATCTTTGCTGGTATAGAGAAACTCACAGAAAAAAATGTAGAAACTCACAGGAAAATCCCAAGGAAGTCTCAGAGCTGTGAAGCTTGTCTGTTCATCACAGCCATGTCCTCCTTGGCATTCTTAGTGGGAGCAGCTTCTGCCCACAGCAGCAAGGGAGAGTTTTGTGCTGTCTGGGCAGGTGCTGCTCACTAGGCAGTGATCTGCAAAGCTTCCCAAGCAAACACCTGTGCCCAGAGGCTGACTCACTCTGCAGCCCTAGTGCTAGTCCACACTGACTGCTCCAAGTTAGTGCAGAAGGTGTTAATGACACCTTTCACACATAGATGTGGTGACACACAGCTTGTACATAAAGTATCCAACTGAGGGTATCATAAATCTTGAACTTTCTGTTATGCAGTTTAAAATTTTTGTTTTGGGTTGAATTCTGATCAGTTACAGTATGACATTGTCTAGCATGCCTTTCTGAAGGCAAGGGATGGCCACATTACCTAATGGGCAGTGACAAAACAGTTGTCAGTGAGGATGTGGCGTTATGCACCACAGCAATCAAATATGAGGATTTCCTGATGGGTACTTTGGGAATTATTCACACTGACTTTAGGACTTTTAAAAACTGCTAATTACCTTAAAGTCTGCCTTGTAGCTTGTCTCTTGAACAAAATGGTCTTCTGGGATAATGAAGCCTTGTTTTGACCTTATAGGCTTGGATGGTTTTGCTCCAGTCCATGGACGATACTCTTGTCTGAAATGAGATTGTCAAGACAGAAGAATTTGTAAAAGACAACATTTTCACAGGGTATTTCTGCTCAGAGTGATTGCAAAGCCAGAAGGCAAGGTGGGATACAATCAAGGTTAAACTTGTCTGAGGCATACTGAGCATAAAAGAACTGAGCCTAGCAGCCTGTTTCTCTCAGAAAGCCCAGACTGAAAGATGGAACAGGGCACAGACTGGGCTAGCCGGATTCCCTGACTTAACTCTTCTCTTTTTCCTACAAAATGTGCTCTCCTGGAGGTCACTGATGCTTCCCTCCTGGATAAGAAGTCAGTGTAACTTTTTGCAGGCTCACCCACTGACCACTTACAATGTAAGTGTAACACTGTCTGGCACGTTGGCCACTTACACTGTAAGACACCTTGGTCTGGTGTTTGGCCCTCACATATGCCAAGAGCCTGCTGATGTTGCCATACCTGGCTGTGGCTTCTCAGCAGCAGGCCAGTGTGTGCTGTGCTGCACAGCTGTGGCAGCTCAGTCTGAAATACATCCAAGGGGAGACACCATCTCAGCTGGCAGATACTTACGCTGATGATTTTCCTTCACATGGGGGAAAGTGCTTTAAATCTGCATGATGATGCCTGAGAAGGCATTGCTGCTTCAAGAATAAGTCAGCCAAAGGTCATCTGAGAAATGGGAGCAGAGACTGCACTGAGAAAGGGGCAGCACCTTTTGAGAGCACTGAAGTACAGCATTGCAGGGTCTGCTCAGCTGTCAGTTCCCTTCTGCAACTTTCCCTCTGCTTCTCTGCACCCCATGTCACAAACAGGCCTCAGTAATGCCCTTGCCATTACGACTTTCTGGATGCTGCAGTAGCAGCCAACTGAGCTGTCTTGTTGCTCAGAGGAAGACAGAAATCTGCTCTGTTTGTGTGTGTATCTCTGGCAACCAATTCAGGCAGCTTCTGTAGCAAAAGGAGAGGTGACTAACCGAGATGTGACAATCTTATTTTCATACCCTGGTATGGTTCAATAACCGCATTTTACTACCTGCTTATGCACAAGATCGAGGGGTAAGACTGAGGCTTGTTTTAATGTGTCGAGCTAATCTTTGATCACATCCTTTCTGAGTTTCATTTTCCCAAGCATGCTATTTGCTGTATTTATAATAGCTGCAATTTCCTCTTTTAAATAGATATCTAACTTAAAGTGCATGAGTGTGGAGTATTATTTTAGAATGCATGGTTTGGAATTGATCCTTTTAGTATATTATAGATAATGTCCTATGGAAGAACTTCCTGCTGTTGGAAAGCAAAGCCAGGCCCCTGTCAGAGCTGTCTATGTGCATTGCAAATCTTGTTTATAATTAGTTTGTTCTTGCTGTCCTGAGCTGTCACCTTCTGCCTTCTCTGTACCATGCTGTTTGGGCCTGCTCAGGCAGCAGGTGAGTGCCCATGCAGCTCCCCTGGTTCCTGCTCCCTTCCTGTAACACCTCAGGATAAGGCAGCACTTTTGAAGAAAGGTGATTTTGGCCAAGAGATGCCCCAAGAAGGCAACCTTTCAGCAGGGAATCCCAGATGTGAATGAAAGCAGAGTTAAATCTGACCTCTGTTCTGCTGCACAGCCAGAGGGAGGACACAGCTACTGGGCAAAATACCAGCAAAATGGTACAAAACCATCAGTTACATCCCTGCAGTTTCTAGGAACTGGAACCTGCTGCTCCACATAAAGGCTGATTTCCTCAAGAATGCTGGTGGCATTGATTCCTAACCATTCATCCTTGTGCTGACTGGTCTCCCCGCTGCAATGGAGTGTGTCTACAGCTTTCAATGAATGACTGTGCTGCCTGCCTGTGCAGCCAACTCTGTCTCAATGCTTTATAGCAGATCATTTGCTGATTTGGCAGGCCCCCAAACACAGTCCTTTTGGATCACAAGACCCTCATTTTGGCTGGAAGTCAAACAATTCTCATCTCAGCCTGGATAGTCAAAACTATTTTTGAGGCACCTACATGCACTGAGGAAATGCTCCCCACAGAATCAGAAACATAAGAGCAGATACAGTCATGGTCCACACCACAGCAGCATTTCTGATTTGGAACTGGGATTTTGCTCTGGGAGAACCCAGAACTCAGAGCAAAAGTGAAGGGCAGAGCAAAACAGAGACAACTTAGCTTAACTCCTTTTGGGAGCTGAGGTACTTAAACCAAGAAAGGAATATTATAAGCTTTGGTTGAGAAAGTGTGGCTAACTAAATTTGCTCTGCCTCTAAGCTTGCAGGACACTTGTTCCCATCCCCAGCTGCATAGCCAAGAGTCAGAAAGAACATGAGCCCAAATATCAGTCTGGTGACTTGACTAGAAATCAGTCTTGGTGTCATGAGTGGAGTCAATCTCATCAAGGCCTGGGGAAGAGGAATGACCTTCTTTTTAATGTTACTTAGTTTAAGATGTCAAGTGACAAGATTAGTGACTATCTTCCCCTTTGTATGCTGTGTAGTGTGACATCCAGCTGCTGCTGTGGATGAACATGCAAAGACTGACTGTTGCTGCTCAAGATAGTAATCTTCATCCTTCCCACTGCACCCCTCTCTTCCTCCCCTTGTTCCTGGACAGCAGCAGCTGTCAGGTTCCTTTGGGGCTGTAAGGACCTGCAGTGGAGGGACAGTAATCTCCCAGGCCCAGAACTCGGTGACCAGGCTCTCTTTTGGTTCTGTTCATCCTCCACTCTTACAACCTAGAGATTTTTGATCTCCATAAATACAAATGACCCAGCAGTACTTGAAGTACTAAACCATTGGAGTTGTGAAAAAGAAAGACCTCCTGAGTAGCACACAGGCTTTAAAACAGTAGGGATCAAAAGGGAAGGGCTGCTTTTTGTGTACTGCTGTTTCTTTACCTCTAACTCACTCTAGGATGAATTAAGAAGCAGCTCCTTGCATGTCGGTTGCCCCGGTGCTTTAATCATACAAATCACTGCTTTTTCAGCTGTTTCTGTGCTCTTTCTCAAAATTAGTTAATAGAGCCTGAGAAAAGGAATTTCTTTTGTAATGTGTGGGGATGTGTCTGCAGGGGAAGGTTTGAATCAGCACAGTGTGGAAAAGGAGGCTTGTGGCCTGCTGGGACAGTTTAACTCCTGTGGTGACGAGAGATGGAGCAAGTGGGAGTACAAATAATGTATAGGCTAGAAACAAAAAAAAAAACAAAACCACTGGATTGTTAATTACCATGGTGTTGTGATGAAGCCCAGCATTGATGAGAGCTGTTTCACTGAGCTGGTGTTTATGTGCCACCTCCTCCCCTGGGTGAGCAGGACTGCCTGTACCAGGCTCTCAAACAGCTGAGACTGGAGACCAGGCAGAGAAATGTTCCCACCATCATTCATCATGTGGCCTCACAGACTCCAGGGCATGATTTGGGAATGGTGGATTTGGGATTGGTCTTTCTGTTCTTTCCAAACACAGTGTCTGCTGCTGCAGCTCAAGCTGCTGGATGCTATGAACTACACGATGACCAGCTATGTGCCTCCAGCTCTTCCCCCATTTCATGTGCTCTGCTAATGTTTTCTGCTCTGCAGAGAAAGCTGTCTGCAAAATCCTTTTTATTTCACTGACCTAGGGAAAACCTAGCCTAGAAGGCTTTTTAATTTCATCAAGGTGGAGGGCACTTCTGTTAGGCATAGGGAGGCAGACAGTGGGAATCCCAGCAGGGCTGTTTGCAGTGCTGGGGCTGCTGTTTCCATACAGATTTATCTTCAGCACTGATAGTCATACACCACCAATGCCAGAACAGTTGTCATTTTAGTACCTAATCTTTGTGTCAAAATTTGCTTTGCATGATTAATTAGCAGTGGCAGTTCTGAGCCACTGCATAACATTTCTTATTAAAGAATTGGAGAAAAAGGCTCAATCTGTATAGCTGACTGCAACTCAAAGCTATGCTGCCTGACCTAGTCTGTGTCTATTCTTCTGCCCTCTTCCTTCTCATACCCAGCACACTAGTGAGAATTAAACAGGATAATAAACATTCTTCCAAATTTCCCTTTAGAAAGAAATTTGTGTACACAGTTTGGGCTGCCTGTTATTTTCCAAAAGAAAATACAAACTACTCTAGATGTCCCCTGGGGAAGCCAAATTGGTGTGGGAGAGGTTTTGGCAGAAGGTGTGGGGTGTGAAATGTCTCCCTGTTTGCAACACAGCTCTTCACAGGCTACTGTTAGGGCCATGCATTCTGGTTTGTCCAGGCAGAGCTGGGTGGCCAGTCTTGGTGCCCTCCCAAGGACAGGCTAAGTCTACCTGCTGGCAAACACCTCCATAGGTCAGGGAGGGTTCTATGATGTCCCCTAGCAAATGGAGGATTGCTAATGTTAGGAGTCATGGTCACAGTGAGAGTTCTGCATGACAAAGTCAGGAACCCTCCTGGATAATGGAGCCACTAAACAGCTTCTCCTCTGAGCTGTGTCACATAGCAGTGGGGTGCCCTTCCAATCCCTGGACATCAAAGCAGATTGTGCCCATTCTCCTATCCAGCCAAAGAGCCCAGCACGAGGACAGAAATGGGGGAAAAGCTGAAGGAGGGGAAAAAATAGAGGGATAGAGAAAAGATGTAGCAGAAAGACAGAGACCAGCACACAGGAATTGCAGAGGAGGAAAGCAGAAGCCACCTGGATACTTCCTGTCTCAACTCTCACCTCCAGTAAGCTCAGGCAGTACCTGGAACCATTCATAAGTCACAAGAAGGAACCAACAGCAAAAGACTTGAAAGAAGTCTTGTACTTGAAAGCACAAGACAAAACCCCTAAGACTCAAACAATTACCTTAGGGTGAGTTTTAGGGACTTGCCTTGTTCACAGGTAGACGCTTCCCTTTTATCAGAACAATGTGACTGGGGATGTGTGAGTAGGTCTGAAGGTCTTGACGTCTGCCATTCACCCACTTTCCATTCTTTCACTCTAACCTAAGGTTGAGTGGACTTTCAAGAAGGAAATTCCTCCTACTTTAAGGAACATCTGAATTCCACACTTCAGTTCTACAGTGTACAGACGAGTCATAGTTTGCACTATACCCTCTCTTGAGCCCCTATTCGCAGCCCCACTGTGTCTCTCCTCACACACCTCTGTGCCCCTCCAAGCCCTCTCTACCCCAGCCAGGCTATGCAGTGCACAGTTGAGTCCTCTGGATCCATCCCAATGCCTGCGCCAAGCAAGCTTACTTCTTAAATAGCATAAAAATCAGGAGCTTGAGTATTAATTTCCCCAAGCAGCGAGATACTTAAGAATGTAAAGATAACTGTAAGCCTTGATTATAAAAGATTTACTGCTATTATTAAGGATAAGCATGCCTTTAAAGATCTTGCTGGATCAAGGATGGAGCTCCTCATACACAGTACTATTAACCCTGCCGGCTCAGGTGCGTGCCCTGATCTCATTTGCCTTCTGAGAGCAAACAAGTTGGGTGCTCTTGACTCTCACACCTGCTCAAAATACCTGTCACGGAAACCCCAGCAGCAGACAGTGAGTGGGCTCTGCTCGGGGCCTGCATTATGCCTGTGTGCAGAAATTTGCAGCCATCTCCCAGCTCCTCCAAGTGCCAATACAAGTAAAGCCAATGGGTGGGGGGGAAGAGGCAAAACAACTGCTCACAGCTCTGGTGCAACATTCTCACACATCTGAAGTGTTTTCCAGAAGCTGGCAGGTTACTGAAGGGAAAACTGATGCCTGTAGTGATTTATAGTCTAGGTGAGCCTTAAACAGGGTTCTCCTCCCAGAAACACTGGCCCTGGCAGAGAGGCTGTGCCTTCATCCCTGTTGCCTTCTAACAAGGTAAGAAGATGACATCCAGACAGCCAGCTGGGGATACCTGCTGACAGCACCAGCTTCTCTCATCCTCTGTTGAGGGAGCTAAGTAAAGCACTTCGCTATTTCTAGAATGTCTGCTAAATGCAATCAAGACCTAGTACTACAATTAATTTTGTGCAAAGCCAAAAGTACACAGCACCTGCAACTTACTGCTGAAGGGAGAAGTCACTTCCGTGACACTAAAGGACAAACCTTTGGGAAGGTGCAGAGAGGCCACTCAGCACTTTCTTCTGCCTCCTCCAGCATCAGTAAGGTGTAATCTACTGCAACCCTCTGCAGCAGTCCCCGGGATCTTTTCACAGTTGGAACACATCCCATTTTAGCCTTTCAAGTGCAGCTTGTATCAATTTGCCTTGGCCTGTGTGCCTGAGCTCCCACAATGCAGCCCCATTGGGATTGACTTAATTTAGACCCTGCAAAACTCCAGCCAAAATTCAGAGACTGGAGGGAGAGAGCAGCTGCCCAAAGATCTGGGGACACAGGGCAGCAGTCTGTATGGCAGGCAGTTGTGCTGTCCTTCCACCTTTT